AGCGCGTACGGACATTGTTCCTCCTTTATTGTGAAAAATATGCAACTTACATATCCTGTTAACTTTTACGTACGATAACGATAATTGCTTAACTGTTGAGAATAGTTTCTTTTCAAAAATTTGCAACATTTATATAATATTATTAATTAAAATGAATAAGTTATGAATTATTTTTTTATTTTCAGAGTTTTCGTATAAGCTATTATGTTTACGTTCTTTGGCAGTTTATGCACATACTTACGAATTATCATATATTAGTTATTAGTTTTGATCACGTTTCTTTGTTTTCTTGTGATAGAAAAATTTTTTTGTATAAGTCAAATAAACAGGGTTGTGATTATAAAAATTTGCATACGAGATTGAAAAAAATAAATAAGAGTTTTTATTTTATAAAATATGAATATTTTAAAAAACCCATTCTTGCTCAAAATAACTAACAAAATATTAATTCTTTCTTAAAAGTATTTTATTCAATCAGCGAGTTCAGAAATAAAGATCAACTTAGAAATGCACAGCTGACTGCGCAATAAACCGTTAATGGATTCAGTCACGGATTTATAATGACATTATTGGACTTTTACTATTACCCTAAATTATCATAGTATATTCTATTGCTATACCATACTAAAAACGATAAAAGAGATGGGTTTTAAGGTGGAGAGATTGGTTTGACATGATTGTTTTATTGTTTTGTTGGTGCAATTTAGTTGACGTACTGTATAATACGATAATAATTACGGGCTTTAATTTGAACTCAATTCTTACCGTACAGTATACTCAATTTCAATTTTTATTTATTGGACTCTAATTTCGTTATCTTTGTTTAAAGGTAATAATCGAACTAGTTAGTATTTTTATTACCAGTATTCACGGTGCTATTATAAATAATGTTAATAGTAAAGTTAGGTAAATTATATTTTGTAAAATAGTTGATTATTATAATTATCTATACCTAGATATAAAATTCGAGTTATTGTTCAATGCTAAGTTAAATAATTACCCTAATACCATATTACTTTTCTTTAGGTTTAGGTAGATTCGCTAACAGCTATTTTATCGACACTTATATCACAGACATTATTACTCAGACAATAACAATCTATCTCACTGATAAGTTATCTTTATGACTTTACATTTCTTTAATCTGTTTTTCTGATATCTATCTTGTCTACTGCCCATTTACCAATAACTATAGAGATCAGACTCACTACAGATTTGGTCTCCAGATTACTCACCTGAATTTACAACTGACAATGTTTATAATTACATCAGTTAATAAATTATCATAGACTAATTAATGTGAATAAAATAATTTGAAAGTATTAGGCAATCAATCGTAATTAAGTATTTAGAAAATACCTAAGAATAAATAGTTATGTTTATGATTATAATTTCACAAATTATCGTTAACAATTACCCTTATAATTATACCTACTTTAAAAATATTAAGTATCTAGAGATAAATATTTTTGTTTACGATTCTATCATAATTCTAAAGATTATCATCTTTTGCTCATGCACTATTTGAAGAATATTAGTTAATTAATCGCAAATAAGTATTTAGACATGAAAATTTCGAATAAGTATTAATGTTTATTATGATTTGTTAATTTTAAATCCACTGATTAATAATTTAAAAGTCAAACTCACAATCGAATAATAAATTAAACTATCGAGCAGTTAATGCCCCAATGCCAGCATACAAAAATAAAAATAAAATGGTACATAAAACCTAACTAATGCAAATCAATAAAGTAGAAAGTAATAACTATTGTGAGCAGAGAAAAGACTGCGACTCGGTCGCTCAACAATACCAAAAACTCGCGTAACCAAGGGTAAGTAACCTTACGAAAGAGGTGCGTTAGATTAGGCTGAGGGCTTGGTAAGGCTTCGGGTTACTTGGGTTACAAGGTTGGTGTCAAGCGTCCGGAAGGTTTGGGTCACGTGAGCAAGAGGTTAAACGAACAACCAAGTATAATTTCGAGAACTTAGGGAATATACTAGCAGTAGCAGTAATTTATGTAATATTATGAGCGATTTATTTAATAAATTTGGGACTTAATTATTTTAAAAGCAAACGAGACTTAATTTTCTCGGGGGCAATTAGGCCCTTTATTTATAATAACTTTTTAATTATGAATTATTTTACTACATAAATTTTATTTTTACATTTAATTTTATTTTTCTAATTTCTTTATTCAAATTACTTTAACCATTAAACCCCCTTTTGATGTTAAACTTCCCTTTCGCGATATATTTAAGAAATAATATTAATTCAATTAATTGAATTAATTGCCGGGATGCCTATATTGGGCAACTGATCTGCATATCCGCGGCAAACGTGATCAACACAGCTTGTCCGGATCACGTTATTTGGACCTCACACTATGAAAAATTTATATATATATTTAGCAAACATCTAATCGCCCGGTCAACAATCATAAAAAAAATAAGCGGTACGATTTTAATAATCATATGCAATCGAAACAAAGATCATCGTGCAACAATCACTCACATGACATGAAAAAAAATACGATAAATACAAACTGAATCCGATAAAATTTTTTGGAGCGTATGCTGTAAAGGGCAATTTTGACCCTCCGGATGTACTACTTTCCGATGTAGTACCATGCACGATTTCTACGATTTTTACGAATTTATCGGATTTATATTTTTTATAGTTTTTATAGTCGTTAAGTTGTTATATTTTTTATAGTTTTTATAGTCGTTATGTTTTTATAGTCGTTATATTTTTTATAGTTATTATTTCTTCGAATCTTCTATATGTAAAATTATCTATAAGGGACTCCTTTCTCCCTTCAATAAAGACATCTCAAGTTTGAGACAATTGAAAAATCCATAAATAACTCCCAACTACCAAATTCGCTTATCCCCAATTACCCCGCCCCCCCCCCCCCCCCCCCCCCCCCCACCCCCCCCCCACAACCCACACAACAACCAACAACAAACAAAAACAAAAAAAAACCCAAAAAACCAAAATATTCTAGACCCCTATTTACCCCCCCCCCCCCCCCCCCCGATATAATCAAACCCGATCAATTTAAACAATAAGCAATCATCCTCCATATAGTCTTATTGATAAACCCAAAATCTCCATTGATAAATTCTAAGAGAAGACCAGATCACGTACCACGAAATTATTCTAAAGTATAAGAACCAAGAATAACGAAACACCTACCTTAAAGTACCAGGCTAAACTCCAGGTTAATCCACAAAATCCCTAAAACCCGGACCAAATCTTCCACGCCGTCTTTCAGCCTACCAACTTAGGATTGATTGTTGGATTATAGTGTTGATTATTTGTAGACCCGACTCCTCGTGTGACATAGCCTCCGGACTAGTATCGGTCTGGAACCAATTTACACCTTTTCAATGCTCAGATAGATCCGAGAATTCAGATCAGTTCAGATAGTTCATCCGATAAGACAATAATAAGTGGCTGGTCATGAGTAAACCCGCAACCCAATTGCAAACAAAACATGGACAATCACTCCCACAATCGGAAATGATCGGAGTTTCGTCACCTTTCATCAGTTTCATTACCGTTCATCAGTTTCGTCACCTTTTGACGGTTTCGTCACCTTTCGTCAGTTTCGTCATTTCGGCATTTTAAATTTTTTTTGACGAAAGACGAAACTAGGTTTCGACTTTCGTCAATGACGAAACCCTTAGGTTTCGTCTAACAACATTAATTGCAGTATTATATTATTTTAACACAATAGTATTATGGTATCTAGATACAATAGCATTATTGTATTTTGGCATAGTGGCATTACACTTATGCCATTACGGCATTACGGCATTACGGTTACGGCATTACGGCGTTACGGTTACGGCATTACGGCTCAAAGAAATTACGGAAAATAATACGGCACACGCCGTAACCGTATTAATTTGTTAAATGAATTCTACCGCCAACTATAGCCCAGAGTACTTCTTTTAACTAATAAAATCGCAATGTGATAGTTTTGCGATTAAGACACCTGATTAAAATTCCGACTACCTAATTCAATAAGTTTTGATTTCGGTATATAATACTAATACGGTATATACTAATCATGCTGAAATCAAAAATTTATCGAACCGGATAGTCTAATTTTTAATCAGATGTCCCAGAAGTAATTAAATTAGCTATAATTGGCTGAGAATTTTTTTTTTAGTAAAATCACTAGTAGAGATGGTAAAAAAAAACATTTTAACCTATTTTTTCACCCGTTTAATGATTAAAGTCTGAATAATTAAATCTGAATTTAAATATATCCAGATCATAATTATCATTTGTTTTTAATTATGTAATAAAAAAACTTTTGCCATCCCTAATTATGTTATGTAATCACAATCGGCCTAAATAATAATAAACGCCAGCCATATGGGCGATTTAGATGATTGTTGAGATTATTGATCAGGATTGTAAAATTATTTATGAATCGCTTACGTTGAGTAAAAAATATTCAATATTTCTGTTCGTTTATTTAAACTTATTTTGATCCAACGTATATGTACAATATTTGGTGCGTGTTATAGAGATATCGATTATCATATAAGTTACAAGTTTAATAGATAGTTTACAAGCTCTTATTATATTCGGTTCATAGCATTCTGACTAATTTTCGCCCATATGACTAAATCTATACCGGTAATTCGCATAATTTTGCCGGATCATAACAATAAGTGATTGAATCGGTAGTTCTAATTCCCGTAGCGGAGCCATGGGTGTAATATTCCTAAAGAAATAAACCAATTTATCATTATAAAAATAAAAATTATCACACAGGTTACAACTGGTTGACAATTATGAAGGAACCTCTTTTTCAGTGAGGTTTTGGGGATGAAACTACTGGGTCTACTTTGATAAGTAGTAGGTTTCTATCTTCTCGAGTTAGTATAGGGGCAACTACTGGTTAAGTGGGCTTTGGCCTTTCTTCGGCTTAGACTTCTGCTTCTTTAAGATAGCTTCTTGTTCTTTGCGAAGGATAGAGTTAGGAGTAGTCTGCAGGCATTACTACTGCTTCATCGTTTCTAGTAGGTTTTTCTTCTTCTTCCAAGACACTGATATGGTTCACGTCTCTTGGTCTTTGCAAAATTTAGATGGCCGAGTTGTCTTGGTCTCGAGTTTGGTCCTGAAGTGACTTCGAGTTTAGTTCAGATTCAGGTTTCTTTCTAACACCCTTTCAGACATACAGTTGCGTGAAATATGTCTAAGTTCCTCACATCTATAGCAGCGATATGGTATACTATTATTATTATTTCTATTTCTATCTGCATTGTAATTGCTATTATTGTTCCTATACATAGTCTGAGGCCTTGTTGTTGACTCTACGTAAACAGCAAGAGTGGAAGTCAACTTTTCAAAACTAGCATACAACACTTGTATTTGCTGATTCTGTTAGTCAATGTTGTTACTGAGGGTCCCTTTTCTTCTTCCATTTTTTCATCATAATACTCTCCTGCTTCAATTTTCTGAATGCTAGCAATTGCATCCTCAAAGTTGTCTGGTTCACCAATACTCAGCCAAGAGGCTATCCTTGGTTTCAGTTCTCCCAGGAATATTTGTACAATATACAATTAGGATAACTCACGGAGGGAGTCCACATGGCACAAAAGTTTCTGAAACTTATATGCGTACAATTCTATTCTTTGTTTGTTTGTTGGGCTAGAGCATTCAAGTCGACTTGCCATTTGAATCATTTCTCCAGGGTCACAAAGTAACAACTAAATTAGAAGACGAAACTATCATCTGGGACATGTCTATTATCCTAGTAGTTCAGATGGTTTTTTTCACTATCATACCAATCAGCAGCTACACCTTGCAAGTATTCAGATGCAATTTTTACCTTCCTTTCAGCTGTTCAATTATTCGCATCAGTGGCCCTGTCAAATGCTTCTATCTATTCTAAGGGGTCTTTGTCTTCTTCTCTGCGAAATACTTCAACATGGACCAAGTTTGTCTCTCTATTCAGTGGTCAGATAGTGGCAGCAGCTCTAGCAGTGGCATCCCAGAACGTAGTGACAATCTCTTTTAAAATCATCTGAACTAGGTCTTAGACTTGGGCTTGAGGTTGATTTTGATTTCTCTCATCTCTGACAAAATATCTTTCTGGCATTGGTTGGTATTGGTCTACAGAGGTTCAGCTTCCCTCAGTTCATTAGTCTTGTTCCATCTCTTCATGATTATCATTAGGATGTCTGAATATTAGCAAGTCATTATTTTGTCTTTGGTTCATCCTAGTATAATAAATCTTTCTTATAGGTTAGTAAAAAAAAACTTTAAACGAAAAATTTCACAACACAAAAAAAAATTTAAAGCTCAACACAAAAAAAATTATTTAAAACACAACAAAAAAATTAAACAACAAAGAAAAATCTTGAACACAAAAAAAAAATAACAAAAATATTGTTAAATAATTAAATAATTTTCTTTTCGTTATAAAATTTTCATTATTTTTTTTTTTTTTTTTTTTTTTTTTTTTTTTTTTTTTTTTTTTTTTATTTCTTTTTTCCCTCCCCCCCCCCACATTTCCGGCGCCCCCCCACCCTCCCCCACCCCCCAACACACGCCT